ACACGCTGAGTGCAAATTTTTTCCCCGGCTTAATTCGTTAGACGAGCACGTAATATAACCGCTCCATTTCTCACGCTGCGCTCTTTATTCACCGTTTCACAGCCGCAAAAATTGTGAATGGTACTCATGCGTTGCAAATGAAGTAACAAGCGCTCCATCGGAAACCATTTAGGTATCGCTCGAGCGACCGCACTCCTGAAATACCAAGAATAATAGTCCATCGAAAATCAATTACCGGCCCTAGCATTCTCTTCTACGTCGTTTAAAGGATTGCATTCATTATTCCTACCAAGGAGCGCGCGCGGTGAAATTTCCAAGACGATCATTCAAATTCCTCTGATTTAATCAATCGCGAAATCGACGATTTATGTTGCCTATGTTATAATTACATTGATTTCAAATTTTATATAAAGAAGGGAAAAAACTGTCACAATTGCGTCGCTGAATAAACCGTCCCAAACTCGTTATGACAAATGCTAAACCAATTCTGCGTTCACTTTTCTTTCACGTATATTCGGATAGAAGCGTTTGCCGACTCGTGAGAATCTGCGTTTTACTAAAAGTGCACACGCGGAAATGTATTGTTACTGAAAACACGAATGGTATTTGCGGCGTACGCTATATTTATTGCCGTTCCCCACGTCGGTGTGTTCTCGCAGGACGAGCATTGTCCCTTGCAACTGTAACTTCGCGTGCCTTTCACGACGTTTTTTCTCTTTTGTCGTCTTTTTCCGCCCTACGCACGTATACAAAATGTCAGCAGGGAAAAGACTACACGGCCTTGGTATGCAACTGCTTGTGGCTTAAGTGCTTTACGCGAATCTTACGAGGGCACTTCGCAGACACAATCTTCCGAAACAAGCTTCTGATATACGTGAGAATACTCGTCAGGTCTTGGAATTTTCCAAGCGACACGCGTACGTATGTTTACGACAAAAGAGAAAATGGTAAAGACGTTTTGAATCGCACTGACGTAACAAATAATATTATTGTATTTAAGATTGCATTTTGCATGTTAATTAACATTTCGCTATCACTTTTTATATAAGCCATGCAATATGTAACATTATTTGTTATATTCAGTTCAGCAACATAATATTTTTTAACCTACATTTGTATATCATTATGCAATTGTAACAATCTTTGGAATTGTAAGAAATTTTTCAACGCAATATTGATTCAAGATTAATCAAACATTTCCTTGCAATTTACCGGCTAGAAAATAATAATTCTGATTCCTTATCAGATGCGTTGGAGTCTCAATTTTCTAGATTGCTTTCTTTTAAATTGCTGTGATATTCCTGAGCAGAGATATCGGCGATTATTATCGGATCGCGATCCCGCTCAACGCGGCGCAGTGCGGCGCGGCGCGGCGAACGGCGGCGGACGATCAGCTGATTGCGGTCAGATGCTACACGCGTATTCTGACCTACCCTAACCTATTAGGCGTGCGTTCCCTGACCTACCGCTACACATTTTTTTCAGTGACTGCACCGCGAAATCTTCGAAATGGTAGAACTCAACGATAAAGCATCATAGAGACATGAAATAAAGACAAATTTTCTTGATAACTTTTTCTTCACTATTTGTTATAAATTATCCAATCACGTGATACTTATACGCGCACGTTTATGTCGATTTAATTCAAGATTTAGAAAAAGTTATGCTTTGTAAAAAATTTCCAACACATTTTACATAAAATAATATTCTTATAGAAAATAAATATTCTAATAAAAATTAATGTTAAAAAATTAAGTAATGTAAGTTATTTGTCGTCTTAATTTGTTTCCGACAAAGTGTAATGTGTCTCTATATACAGTGTTTCAGTAAATTCTTAGCTGCAATTATTGTTATTAAAAGCGAGGTGTCGAGAATATGAAACACCATCGCGACTTTTAGAAATCCATAATGCCGGCACGGAGCTGCAGTTCTGGTTGCGTGTTTAATATTGCAAAGCTTGGATTACGTACTTAGATCTCGTTGGCGAACAGATTGCGCAGGCGTTGCATACGATTACACGACGAGAGGGTAAAATTTGTTGAAGTTGCTGTGAAAAAGCTCTTTCGCGGCTCTTTTCGCGCGATTTACGAGCTAGCGCGAGCTACCGTACTCATAAATGAGATTCGCGAGTAAGAAAAAACGCTCGCAAGCACGAGCCGAGTCGCAAATGAGCAAACGTAGTCTGAGAAATTCACCGTCGTCGCGGGAGACAACAAGGAGAAAATTATTCCGCCGGTTGCGTCGTCGGAAAAGTAATTAACGCATTCGTCGAGAGAGAGACAGAGTCGAGCGTATCGTACCGAGAAGTTTGCTAATTTCGCGCACTCCGCAGTGCGTAATCAAACGGAACCGGTATCGATCGTGGTGGTGGTCCCTCGAGGCAACATGCAGAACGTTAAATAATTCATCATAAAGGTACGATCATCATATCGCAAGACAACGGTATCCCCCGGTGCCCAGCCGAGCCTTTCTAACGATTCGATAACATCACGCGGGCGAATATTCTAACGAATCCAAACAAGAATCTAAAGCCGGAGGCTGCCGCGGGAGATGCGAGGCTGCCTATATTGAGAACCAGAATTACGCCGGCAACGAGATTTCAATGCGAGCAGCTAAGTGAAATAGCTAAGTTAATTACGGCGCCGCTCTAATCGAGTTCTTCTTGATATTATTAATTATACAGTATAAAAGATAATGTAAGGATAAAATACGTGTTTTAAGGGACGATAATATTATATTGTCATATTTGTAATGTTGTTTTAGAATTACGTAAACCGTTCATTTTGAAAATGATGTAAAATCGATTTTAAAATATAATAAAAATCTAGTAATATAAAAAATAGCATACAAATATGAAACAATTTATCCAAAAATTGCGCCGCCGAACTTAAACCATTTTCGAAATAGAAGACTCATATAATTCTCATTTATTCATGGAGTTTCATAAACACACTATCATTTCATTTAATAATAATACTTTTGAAAACATTATAGCAAAAATGAAAAATATCAACTTTTTCATAAATATTAAAAACCATATTCATTAATTCTGCAAGATAAATTTTGTGTAATTTTACGCACAAAATTTCACAGGTACTAAAATATTTAAAGCGCTTGTCTCTCATAATACTAAATAACTCGGATTTCACTGTGTATTGCATTACATAGAATCCTACCTTTTGTCTTCTACTTTCAGATTCATTAATCATCAAGCATTTAAGAGAACGCATTATTATATTGTGAGAATAATAACGGGATAATCGTGAATACATAAGCAATTAATCATGTAGGTATGCCAAATTTACTTACCAGACGGTACCGCAGGGTGTCGCTCTGCAATCTCCAGCAATCTCGGCGCCAACTTCCCATCGATGCTACATCGTTTCAGCTTCAATCGAGAGCACTCACTCGCGTGAATACGAATGTCGAAAAACATAGCGAATTTCGATCGTGCGCGACGATTAATCTGTTACAACGATCGCCCGGCAACTTCTACGGCACTCCCGGCACATTTTTGCACACGCGATGTACTTTTACCGGATAAAAAATGCGAAAAATACAGAGCGGCTTCACAACGCGTCCACTCAATCCGACCGACGCGAAACTAATATGGCATGATGTATCGGCGTACGCTATTGGCCGATTCAAATATATTTAAAATATCCAATTTCGGCAACTTGAAAAAATTAAAAAACATAATCTTTTAAGCGCAAATATAGATATTAAGAAAATATACAATAAAAATTATTAATGACATATGATATAAAAAAAGATTAAGAACACATTTGTGGATCTTCTAAAATCGATGAGAAATATAAAATTTTATATTGAAACCCTTTTTTCTTCCCATAACATCTCCTAACCTTTTTTGCAAACAAACAGAAAAATTCAAAATTTAGCTATATATTTCACGTATAATAAAAAAAATACTAATAGAAAGGATAATATGACAATTAACGTGAAAGAAAAACAATTCTAATTACAAGGAAAAAAAAGAAATTACCACAGAAACGAGAAGATACGCAATGCGAATGCGAGCGTGAAATGGAACGCGGATAGACGTGAGAAAATCGTTGCCGCATTTGAGAGTTAAATGGACCGTAGACAAAATAAACAGGGACGGAAGAAATTTCCAGCCATCGCACTCGTAAAGCCACGAAGAAACGAGAGAGGAAATTTCGAATAATACTTTTTGTCCTGCCTACGCCATCGACCCTTCTCTTTTCATCCGTACCGCTCTCCTCTCACCCACCGTCCTATTCGACGTCGCGAGAGAAATACTTCCGAAGAATTTTCCGCGACGCGGTCTCGCTAGTACCCCGAAGGAAATCTCTTAACGCGATCAAAGTTTTCTTCGAGAAAATCCTTCGAGAAGTCTCATCCCGAGTTCAAAGGTAAACCTTTTATCTGAGACCTTCAATATGGAAGCCTCTCGCCTCTGTTACGACATTTCATTCGGTCTCTTCTCGTCTCGAATCGAAGCACTCGCCTATCTACCTTTATATCTGTATCGTTATTGTTTCCACTCGACGCATGAAAATTTGAGTTCATCGAACGACATCGTTTTCGAAGTTGACAATATCAGTACTTCGATATTGCGCAAACCAGATTTTTAGGGACGAGGAACGATGAGTCGGAGAAAAAAGGAAAACGATATAATGAATTCAGATTTCGATTATGTAAACATAAGATATGAGTTTCTATGCTTATTCAAAACAAGAAAAACGATTTTAAATATGTTGGTTTAAATCCTAGAAAAAATATTTAGATTCCTTCGGTTAATCTTTTTCTTTTATAAACAAAAGAATAAAACAAATTAAAAGCAGTTTTTAATAATCAGCAAACTAAATATCAGATGATAATAAAAATAGCTACTCCAAAATGATAAAATAGAAAAATGGATGGTAAAAGAAATGATGAATAGACTAAAGAAGAATGCTCAGAGGAGTGGAGTGTTGAAGTATTGAATGTGTCGATTGAATAAAGACGACAGATTCACCTGTTCCCTTCTTTTCTTTGAAACACAATCTGACAACATACAAAATTCATGTATACCTATTTCGAATGTTTCAAAAAATACTTAAAGTGCGATCTCGTACAAGGCTTAAGGTGTCATAAACATATAAAGATTTCAATCTTACATATTTATGTGGTAGAAAAAGTTCTCCAGCTTATTTTTATATAATACTACACAATTTGTCTATTATAAATTCACATTTTATAAATCGAGTGCATCATACACCTTCTGTTCTACATTGCAAGAGATTCTAAGGAAATACTTCTAATCATGATTTTATCTAGTCTAATTTCTTAAGAAATTATTTTCGTTCTCTAAAAAATATTTAGCACTCGGTTTATAAAGTGTCACGATCACATAGTATCAAGGTGTATATTTATGGATAAATATATTACCAAGATATAATATATAAATATCAATAGTAACGAGAAGAGATGAGAAATGATTGTATACAAAGCAACAAGAAATTAATCTCTCAACAAATAATTAACCAAATATTCACATAAAAATAAACATACTTAAAATTTTTGAATAGATCTAAATATCTATTACTGTACTGTTAATTACGTTTTGTATTTTTTTATGTATTTAATAAATAAAAAGCGCATAGGTTTAATAAACCTATGGAAAATTTATGATTAATAATGCATATTTGCATGATATATACGTTTATCACTTAAAAAAATACAAATTCTAAATGTAGATGCACGATCATATCTCAATCCATTTAATACGATAGTCACAGTGGTATACTTACACGTAATGTGATATACTTAAGTACTTACTTAAGCATAAAAATTTCAGTTCTATAAATAAATTACGCTAAATCCTTGTTTTACATTCGATAAAATTGTTGCAAACAAATCTGACAGCTTTTTACTTTTTTACAATACAATCAATGTTTCAATTTATTTGATAACTTATGATAAAAATCTATAGTATAATCCTCTAAATAATATACTAATATATACGCTTATTTTCCAAATAATTTGGAATATATAAGGTTCAATTTCATTATAAAGCAAGGATTCAACGCACAAATATTCCTCATAATACGACTATAAGTAGAATTACTTATGTTATAAGTGACAACTTTATATACGATTAATGGTTGGATCTTTGGCAAACTTATATGGCAGTGTTTTATTTTCCTACCAACGCGGAGAAGTTGCCGGCACAGTTTGCTGATTAATTAAAGACGGCCCGCTACGTGGCATAATAAAAGTTTTTTTAATACGAAAAACTTAAGAAAGTACTATTTTTCTAATAATAAATAAACTTACCTCCAAGCAATGAGAGGTGCCAGTCGTTCGGTCAATCTTTGGTAATTTCTTTCCAATTCTCGTTGATAATCCCGCTGATCAGGACCAATAAGATTCTTGTTACGTCGCAAAGCGTCGAGACACTTTTTCTGGAAATCCTTAAAACACAGGCGAAGCTTGTGTTGCAATCTGGTCGGTTGCGCATTCTGTTCGCGCAAACCGGACAGAAACACGACTGCTACCTCGGCGGGTCCTTGATTGACAGTCGTGCCAATGCAACCTTGAAGGACCATTTGCAGTATCTTTGCGTCAGGCGGTTCCTGAGCAGTCGCAGCCGCCACCTAATCAAAGTACACGTGTAAACATTTTTTCAAATAAATAAATATGTTATAAAAACAAAAACCGAAATATTACAAAAAGGTCTGAGCAGTACCTCGGCAGTCTTCTTCTGTATGTCTTCGATTGCAACTTCAATCGGGCTTAGAACTATCTGCTTTCGAGCTACAACTCGAATTCTGGTTTTTAGATATGGGAAATGCGTCGTTACCGTTAATATCGTTTTCCGTTTACATTGTTCACGTAATTCACCGTGAGCCTTGCCACCGGGAGTGAAAGGCGTTGCGTAAACAAATCGTTCTAAAAGTAATATGAAAATAAATAATTAAAAAATTGCAATGACAAAATAATTTGTTTGAATCAATGCTTACTTATGTTGAAATTTCGATGGAAAACTGTGGGTCTGTGTCTAAGCTCGTGCGCCTCGAAGTACGGTTCCACGTAGGTGATCTGCACGTAAGCCTTGTCCGGTTCCAGTTTGCTAGGATCCACAGGATTCGAATCCTTTATTATGACTATATTCTCCGCGCCAAATCTCTCAGCGTAAAAGTTCTCAAGTCTCGAAAATATCTCCGGTAGCTTCGTCAAGGTCGGCTCTTTGTAAACAAACTCTTCACCCGCGAGATCGCCGAATCTGGCACCGTAAAAGCCGACCCTGAAGTACGTCCCGAAGACGCGTTTGCCAGACAACTGTTCTACGCGCGTATACGCTTCATGAAGTTTTCTAAAAATCCCAGAAAATTATTTTACACTAATTTAAAATTATCAACTTTGTCGACTGTATAATAATTTTTTTTACCCGTGAATGTTAGCCAATTTCTTGTAGTCGTGCGCAGCTTCGGCTATAGGCAGCAGCACTCTGTACACATCAGGAATAGCTTCGTACATTCCAGCTGCGTGAAACGAGCTAGCCGCGTGCTCTAATAATCCCGCCAGTCCGCTCTCCGAAAAGTCAGGACCCAAACAAAGTCCTTCTTCCCTTCTAGCCAACACGTCGTCGCCCACCGCGCTTTCCTCCAAAGCGTTCGGTGACACAGGATTCAAAGCGACGGCTCCTACAGGTCGGCCGCCACCGCCAGGTTCTAACAGATGAAGATACTCCGCTACCAGAGCAGCGCTGTGCACTAAGCACATTGCGGCTTCTGTGTGATTCTTCCTCTCCATGTGTTGCTGCGCCATGTTCGCCAGCCAAGTCAGTCGAAGATCTGGTGAGCCTTGATAGCCCTTGGCGATTCTGTGGATAAAATTTAAGTATAAATATATTCTTACGATAATTAATATAAAGCTCTAGTTATATTTTTAAGATTCGGAAAAATCTCTTACCTATACATTAGATCCAGCAGCATTTCAGGATCCTCTTGGAATTCTTTCATCTTGACGGTATCAGAGAGGATCATATGAAGATTGAACAGTAGATCTTTCACTTGTTCGGGAAAGCTTGTATCTGCAAGCTCCGTGTCTCTTTCGGCGTACACCAGCACTGTTTTCAACGCTCTTCGCAGTGCTCCCTCGCTAGGAGCTCTTCCTCTTCCAACAAGAGCGGATAAGGACGTTGTAACTTGCATCTTAACGCGTGCAAAATTCTGCAAAATGTATAAGTTGAAGTAACACTTTATGAACCACCGATATCGAGATCTCATAACAGCTCTCATACATTTCCAATTTCGAAGTTCTGTCGCATCAATAAATACAGACTGGCAGCTGCATGGCTTCTGACAGCGCTTAAGGGCGAGCTGCATCGAGTGAGCAAAGTTAAACACAAATCACCGCAGCGCTCGCTTTCCTCGTCGAACAGTGCGCTGTGATACTTGAAAACTAGAGCTCGCTGTGTGTTAAACATGTGCTGAAGCACGGATGTGCTTTGATTTCTAGCCAGCGCTCTTAATAATACTTTTAACACCGCTCCGACAACCGCACCTAAGTAATTTCGGTGATGTTATAAATATTCTGTCATACTTTATTATATTTTAATGTAAAATATAGATAATCGATGAATACCTCCACCGCCATCGGCTTGAACCACGGATTCTAAGGTATCTAATACGACGAGAGAAGCTTCAGCCGCTAGAGCTCCTTCTATGTGGGCGTCTTGTTCCACAGCTCTACCTTCCGGCTGTTCGCAAGATCTTGAAGAATCAATGTGCTTAATTATAATCTTAATTACAATTTAATAATTAGGATTCTACATTACAAATGACATTATAATTATGAAATACAAATTGCAATTCAAATAATAATTTACCTGTAAGGCATTTGGTCCTTTCGCCACCTCAGCTTGTCGCCAGTCACTCTCTCCTTCCTTCGCAGCATCATCTCGCTCCTAGCACTTCCCTGACCGAGTATCACATCTTCCAATCGCGACCTAATATCGCTAGTGACCGCAGCTTGAGGCGGCAATCTTTTAAGCGCCTTCTTGCCTTTGTACTCGAAAGCGGCGGTGGCGATGTTCAATACTTGTAGCAAGCTCAGGATACGCCTTGCACTAAGCTCGGAGCACCACTGCGCTAACGCGGTTCGCTCCAATCCCTTGAGTACCCATAAGACACACATTAATAGATGCCGAGTGGCTTCGGAGCTCAACGACACGCGGCACTGATTACCCGCGGTGTCCGCCGACGCTCCGCCGGCGATGGCCAAAGCCACCGACTGCGTGATCGAGCCGGATTCATCCGTATAAACGCTTTTGTCTTTGGAATCCCAGTGGTAGAGCTGGGGTAGGGCGTCCATCAAGATGTTGAGCAGCGGCAAATATAGCGCGGCGACTCTGGCTTTCGCGGCGGGATCGGAATATCGCGGATCGGCGTCGTGGTAATTCATAAGATGCCGAACGGTTCCGATCGCCTTGTTCTGCAGCATCGGATTTGGTATTTCCAGGGTGTTTGTCAAATCGGACAAAACGATGCCGACCAGGAAGTGCTGCTGCCTGAACTCCTGGCTGAGTTCCGAAAATCTGGCTCTGTCCCCGGGCACGAGAGTGGAGATCAGGCTGCCTGAACTGCCGGTCGACGGACTGGGTGACGCCGGAGCGGATCCCGATGTGTAGCCCGTGCCAAAGGGAAGATTCAGCGCCACGTAGTGCTCGTGCGAGCACACCGTTCTCACAAGATCGAGCTTCAGAGCGAACAACGCCGCCGAGTCGGGAATGTGCATCGATGCGTCCGACAGCGAGCAGCAAGCGGCGCGAACGAGCGACAGCACGAAACCTCTGTCCATCACGGACAGCAGATCGGACAGGAAGTTGCCGAGGCTGGAGATCAAGTTGGACGCCACGCGGGTCTCCTTGCCGCAGCGCGATATCACCTCGGACGTCAACGCGGCGGTGAGAGTCGCAATGTCGTCGCAGAACTGTAGCGAGAATCTCAGCTTCCGCGGAGCCTCCAAGGCGCCCATTTCGGACAGCGTGACGACCATCGAACGTACGATCAACTCCAGGAAGAACCAGGAATGGGTTATCGCCAGTTCGCGTGCCTGACCGGTCGACACAACCCAGTGCAAAGCGAGCTCCTCGTGCAGAAGTCGCCTGGTGGGTTGGCTGCTGATCGACGGGGATTCCTGCCGCATCGACGCGGTTCTGTCCAGCCCTCGTGAATGAATCTCCATTTCCATGTCTTCCATGGGCAAATCGGGATTGCTCTGTGCTCGCACAACGCCTCCATCTTGAATCATACTTGGCAGAGAGCACTGATACGCGATGTAGGTGGCCAAGAGCGCGTGTCTTCCGTGCGCATCTAATTGGCCATCCGGCAGATGGGTGATATTTCGCATGAGCAGTCCTAGAGCTTCGAAAATAGTGGCCGCAACGTTCAACGATTGAGACGGTAAGGTTGGCGGTCGCACGAGAAGGCACAGTAATTGATCCAGTAATTGCGGAAGAGATCGCACCAAGGCGGAGTGCGAGGCGCGCGCTAATTCGAGAAGGGCTGATTTCAATTCTGACTCCATGCCCGCTTCGCCGATGCGAGGCGGAACTTGACCGGTCTCCAAAAAGCCGCATAACGATAAAAATCTGTAATATAAAGGTTACGTAGAATATTATGCATATTTCAATTTATTTTACGCAAGAAAAAAATTATATATCATTACCTGTCGATGTATTTGTCTTGCGGATGAACGCTGGAAACAGGCTCCAATATAACAGTGAAAACTCCTCGATGAGCATCTACCCATCGAGTTCCCGGCAGAAGAACATCGGGCGCGATATAGGAATAATTTGCGGGTGGCGGATCTAGCATAGCGGGCAAGCTGAATTCGCCGGATTGGAGATGACCGTCTCTCAAAAGTGGTAGCCACTGCAAATAATTAATTTTGTACAGTTCAGTATATCGATGACATTATTAACTAAATTACATTATCGATAAAAGTTTACCGTGTAAGCGACTGGTGTCTCAACGTTCGGTTGTTCCACTTTTTTCTGACAACTGATATGATAGAAAGTGAACAGCAAATGATGTCTAGCGCTTAAATCCGCCGGTAGTCTCATCTTGACTTCGTCGTAAAAGTTCGGATTCTTGTTGTGATACGACACGGAGGTGAAGTACTCGTGCGTCATCTCGGGACACGACGATCTGCCGAAGATAGCTGTAAGCGCATCAGCTTCCTGTTCGCCTCCCATGAGCTGAATCCTCACAGCGATATTGCGGGCCGAGCCAGTTCTGGAGCTGAAATTCGCTTCCTACAATAAAACAATACTCTTAATATTGTAAAATTAACGAGAAATATTTGATCGTACAATTTTATGTAATACGCACTTTGGGATAAAGATAAAGCAGATTACGATACGTTAAATCCGGCGAAACAACTTCGCTCGGGAACTCGAGTATCTCTTTGACCGGTCGACTTTTTTCATCCGGATATGGAACTAATCTCCTGAGATCAGGATCCAGACACCTAGGCAGCTCTTCGGGCCTAGGACTGAGATCCAGTTTCAATATCCCTGGCAAGCATTTCAATCGTTTCAAATTAGAACCAGGTCTTCGTAATTCGACCAAAAGCTTGTAGAGATCTTCATCGCGAAGTCGTTCGCTTTCCTGCTTGAAAAAGCTCGAAACGGTTAAAGTGATGGGCCTGCAAGAACATGAAGGTGTTATCTAAGTTCTGTAAGGATATAAAATATTATACAAACCTAAAGCTCTCGAGGCAGTTGGCGAAGTCGTCTGGAGACCAGCTGCGCCTCTTGTCCGAGCTTCGTCTTTCCAACGATCCTCGTCGCGTCGGCGGTTCTACTTTCTTTCGCCATTGTTCCAACCCGCTAGATTTGCGATCTAGGGATCCAGCACTGCCAGTGCTATCCGCATCGCCGCCACCTCCAATCACACCGGACAGATGAATCGCGGTCCATGCGAGGGGCATTCTGTAACGGCCTAAGCGTTCGCACGCAGCAGCAGCGGCTGCTCTAACCTATAAAAATAAATTAAGTAATAACAAGAAATAGATTTAAATTCATAATTATCTTATCCTATTTTATTACTTTATCTTTATTTTTATCTTCGCGTAAATATGGCTCGGCACACTCCGAAATGTCACCCTGCAATACTTTCTCTAGCCGCACGACGAGAAACAAATCAGGACTCGGTTTGCTGATGCTGAGAACGCAACCTCTAGCTAAAGTACTAGCGTCGCTATAGGCAATGTGCCCTCCAAGCATTCTTTTCAATCCCTCAGAATTCATATCGACATAAAAATTCTCCGACACCTGAAACGTAACGATTTGTATTATGCATTCATGTATGTATTCTTACAGTTGTATCTTTAATTATTAAAAAAATATCATACTTTTTTCTTTTCTCTGGCATCGTACAATGCGAGACTCGCGAATATTGGCTCCACTTCCAGTTCTAACTTTAACTGCAGACATTTCACAAGAACTTTATGAGCGAAGGGCTCTGTAGGTTCAGGTGCAACGCTAATTTCTTGCCACTCATCATCTGGAGAAGTCGGAGGGGCGTAAAGCGGGAATAGAGCTTCCTAAAATAAATGTTTCGTCAAAATAAAGTTTGCGTGCTTGCCATATTGCAATCTATCTCTTTACCTGTCGATCTTCCAATCTCTTCTGCTCGTTCATTTGATCAATCGTCTCCAGACAGACGCGATCTAATAAACTTGGCAACAGTGGATCATGCTGCGAATGCCGTAAATCCAAACTTGCCCAAGATCCTCTCGGTGTATCTCCACAGTTAGACAAATCGTCTTCTTCGTTCGGTGATCCACAGCCATTTATATCCTCTTGATCAACCTAATTCGAAAAAATTGTTTTCATTTTTGAATACGCTGTTCTTGTCATGAAAAAAAATCAACACAAACAAAGAAATATTATCTTCAACACTAGATACCTCAAAATCTTGTCTAGGTGTATCCTGAAGCAATCTGTCTCTAGCAATAGGAGAGATTCTCCCTTTGTATTTGCGATGTATTACAACCCAGTCTGAAGTAAAGCTCTCAATGCATCTCTTCACGTAAGGCGACACGGTATCTCTGAAGGTCAGATGATTAAAATAAAAAACTATATCATCTAGTAAATAACTAATTGTACTTTTTTTATCATTTTGCTTACAAAGATTCGTGTGGAACCACTGGCTCCTCTGTTCGAATCTTTCTCTTTATAACCCTCAGTTCAACATCTCCAGGTGGAAAATCCAGTATTGGTTTTAAGGGATCACGATCCAGCACTGTCTGATGTTGTCCTAAGAACTCCTCGTAATCAAGTGGCTCTAATACCTCACACAAGGACATCTGCAAAGAGATTAAATATTAATTTACTTTTAGGTTAAACACAATGTCTTCAAATTTCAATTAAAAATTTTTACACACCGTCGAAGAGAATCCTGATACACTACTACCACTCTTGGACAAGTCTCGCGAATAGGATGTAGAAGTAGCGATTTGCCGCCTTACATCGGCAGCATGCTGTTTGCTTAACTTGTGAGCAAACGCACGCTGGACCGAAGACATTATAAATATCCCGGTGAAATAATCTGAGGATAAAATTCTGTAACAAAGTATAAATAGATATAAATTTATTAACAAAATACTACAGATTTTAGCCTTTAAATTCAGATCAATGTATCACACATTTTCTTTTTATCATCTAAATTTACCGTTTGTTTGTAAGTAATACACTCAATAAAGCAATACATTCAATAAAACAATATTCACTTTAAACTTGCAATGTTTGTACAAATATAGATATTTATTAACAATTTAATTTCGAAATAATTGAATGTCGAATCTGTAAAAGAACTACTACACAAGCTTAAAAGTGAAAATACAAATAATTAGAAAGTAAACAATATTCATAAAATGTGAGAGTTAATTTGAAATGGAAAATAGAAAAAGTGTGAAAAAAACAAGTCAGAAAAGTACAACATATTATAACGAGATTTTGCAACTAACATTAGTTCGAATTCATCGAAAATGAGACGAAGTAGAATACTGAAAATTCAACAACAAACATTCACTGTTCTTTTAATACTTCTCCAAACCTTGACGTACTTGACGTAAAACGTGAAACCTTGATTGACGCAGACTGACGCTTCTTGTTGTTAATTTGCGTTTAGTGTCGCCACTCAGTTATCTTCTTGAACTAATACTAATTTTTACCATCACATGATAAATAAACATTCAGAGTTTGCTGAATTATTAGATGATGATAACACGATACCAACTAGCGTCGCTACTGTGTACTGTATTATGTCTGCTTGTTTTGCTAAATGACAGCTGTAAATGACGGACGAAGTAGGCGGATTTCTCGTTTCGAGCATGTCGTGAAAGATGCATAAAACTGCAACAATTATGAGTGACAGGAAATTAAAGTCAAAGCAAATAGAATTGATACATATAATCATAGAATTTTATGGATAATTATACAAATATGTGTCCTGCACTCTTGGAGAACGAGGAACGATGCTTGGGTGGTATGACTTTCTTTGCACAAAGTCATCCAGTGGAAGTATGTGGCAGCAATGGGCTGCCACTCACACCAAATTCCATAACTATTTACGGGAAATCACAGTTTTTAAAGACCATTTACCATCCTCATCTTTCTCCGTATCTTGATATAATTAGAAGCAAGCATGGTAAGCTTCTAATTTAATGCAATTTTATAAGCTTATTTACACGTTGTGTAATTATTTTTTATTCATCTACAGAGAGAATAGTGGTTGTTGCGGAATACAGTGGAGATCCATTAAGCAACAAACATGATCTAAGTACAGAGGAGATTATAAAGGTATCCTTTCAATGTCTCTTGGCACTGCAACATATGAACAAACTAGATCTGGTACACAGACATCTGAGTCCGGATAATATTCTGATTAAGAAAAACGGCGATGTCCAATTATACAATTATGGATTATACTATATGACAGATGCAGGGAAGAATGTGTCTTTTCCAATTGGGTATTTTCAGATATTCGTTTTTATCTATGTAAATTTTGTTTGCTTTATATGGTTTTCTCACATATGATTTTTTTTGTATCAGTTCTCCAAAGTATACAGCACCAGAAGTATTTCTAAATCCTAGTCCAAGTGGTGTTAAGGTAGACTCATGGTCTCTGGGAATGATTATAGCTGAGCAATTATTAGGACAATCCATTTGGCCTGGTGTAAAGCTGTTCCAATGCTTGAGGAAAGTTTTGAGCTTGATATTATGTGATACCAGCATATTTGAACGTCTTGCCAGAGAAAATAATTGTTACCACATTTATGAAGTAAGGAATGTTTATCTTTGCACATCGTAATCTGTAATAAATTTGTATTACAATGTTATATATTTGTATCACACAGAAGTTACCAAAGGAGTTGAAAGAATTTGTAGATTTGTGTCTACAAATTCATCCTACTAAGCGTAAGACTCCAGAAGAATTATTGAAATTATCGATATTTGCGGAGCATTTGACGAAAAATGCACAGGAGAGGGAAGAAAATCTCTATAAAAATGTTATTGTTAGAAAAATGGATGAATTATATTATTTATGGCAATTGGCTGGTGGGGACATTACTGTGGATTTAAAAAAGCAAGGTCTTGTTAGATCAAGACCACCTATTTTGACTATTCCAAAGTAAGTATTAATCGTATACATGATAATCGTGAAAATAGATTGTTTATTTACGATTATATTGAATTGTTCAAAATTTTTTTAGCTTAGTTATATTACTTGGCCAAATGTTTGGTCAGCGGGACACCGCCAGCCTACTCGATGTAAGGATCGTGAAAGTTCCTTTGGAGACTCTTCGGCAACGTTTAGCTCACATTCCATACATAGCAAACTATCCTTGGTTGACAAACCAGTCAGTGCATTTACTTCATCTTACATTTTATTTCGATATTACAACATTATTACAAAAATGTTGTATTACAGAATGCGAGTTCAGGCGCAGGAAAATTTAACGAACGCCGACGAATCCCAATTGCCGTTAATTATAAGAGAACGCGATACGGAGTATCAGTTTTACAGGCTCGTCCTGTTCGATAGACTTTTGCAAGTATATCCTCTTACTCATGAAGCGATCATCGAGGAGGCACACAAAGATATACCACCTCCGGTTAGAGGCGCCGTGTGGGCAGCTTTGCTCGGCATCACCGGCGACATACAGAAGCGTTACGATATGATCGACAAGGAAACACCCACTCACACTGATCGACAGGTATGATTGTTGTGTCTGAAACGATCCTTGACGTATAAATGCATTTCACTAATGATTTGTCAGATAGAGGTAGATATTCCGAGATGTCATCAATACAGCGAGCTACTGTCGTCCGGCGCCGGACACGAACGATTACAAAGATTACTGAAGGCGTGGGTCAGGAATAATTCCCATTACGTTTATTGGCAAGGACTGGATTCACTGACGGCGCCTTTTCTTTACCTGAATTTTAACAACGAAGGTACGATTTGTTATTCACATAATTGCGTTCCTTAATTTACGCGCAAGTTTTCTTTTAGCTCGAGCGTTTGCGTGTTTGTCTGCCTTTATACCGAAGTATCTTCACAAGTTCTTTTTGAAAGACAACTCGGCAGTGATACAGGAATATCTAGGCAAATTCTCTCAAATCATTGCATTCCACGATCCTCAATTAGCGAATCATCTGAAGTCTATAAACTTTGTGCCGGAACTTTTTGCCATACCGTGGTTCCTAACGATGTTTTCACGTAAGTTTTACTCTCAATATTTCTTGTTAATCGTACGCCGTATTATTAATTGTGAATGAATATTTTAGATGTATTTCCGCTGCACAAGATATTGCACCTGTGGGACAAATTATTGCTAGGAGACTCGTCGTTTCCTCTTTTGGTTGGACTAGCAATATTGAAACAATTGCGAGACTCCTTATTAATGTCGGGTTTCAACGAGTGCATTCTACTCTTTTCCGATCTGCCCGAGATTGACATAGAACTCTGCGTTAAGGACTCCATGATGATGTACCAAAATACACCCGCTAGTATTACATACAGAAAACATCAGTACAATACAACAAAGGTACAAAAGATTATCTTTATCAATCAATTTATTTAATCTTCTACATATCATAATTCCGATTACCTGATTAATTTCCAGGATGCAAACTGGATTGAACCTGAAGCGGGAACTGAAAATATGCCAAGGATAAGTGTAGACGATTTTATAAATTTCTACAGCAACTCTTCGAATAAAATGATAGTGGTCGATGTACGTAGTAATATACAGTAAGTATGACAGGATTTTTTTTATTACTAATTATATATTAATTCTTTTACGAAGATTTATTTCTTAAACTGGTAATCGGTTATTTTTAACAGATTTGAAAGAGGATCTATTCTAGGGAGTATTAATATTCCATTTACAAGTGTGCAATTGTCTCAAACTCACATCGACACACTCGGGCCTCACGCAAAGCCCTTGATGGATAATAAAAACAGCATTGTTGTAATTATTGGGCCACACGATCAAAATAATGCGTTGGTAAGTAATCATACGAGAGGAAATTATGTAAAACATATATATTTTTTAAATATTTCTTCTTACAGTTTGCAGATTTTTTAGTAAAGTGCAATGTCGTGGGAGTCTGCTCTCTGCAAGGTGGAATAAACGCATTACGACTAAAGTCTCCGAACATTATAATATCTGCGCGCTAATGGTGTAAATAATACTCAGATTTATTAATTCGTAAATTGATATTATGACTTGTAAAACTTGTATAACAAACTAAACAATTTTGTTATAAAAAGATTCACTACACTTCATGTCTTATTTTCTTCTCATAAAGATTATTCCATATAGATTTTTGTATACATATATTGAAGTATATTGGTTGCTATGACAACAAATGTCAAAACTATAGAGGCTTAAGACACGTGCGTTTCGTTACTTGCTTAGTTCCATTCACATAATTGGTTTGTTTAAATAAATAAATATGGAAAAAGGTGTACCACCGGATCTTCAGAAATGGTTCAGGAAATGCTTGAAAAAGGAGTTCGGCAAGACCATACAGAGCGCTATAGACGAGGAACAGGAACCCAGCGACGTAGCTGACAATCTCAAGTACTCGAAAGACATGACCACTTTGTTGGATTTTATGAAAAAAGTGATAGCCGAACAATACCTAGCAATAAAGCCCTCATCTGCAGCCTCGCAATCACAGTCGTCGCTCTCCTTCGCCAGCGATTTCACGGCGGACGATTGGGTTTCTCCGCAAGAAAACGGGGAGGAGTGCGATTATATCATCGACAAGATCAGTCGCGACAAGCCGGTTCACGTGAGACTGGCCGGCTACGAAATTTTATTGAAAATTGAATTGTCCAACATGAACAACAATTCTCAATGGGATAAGCTCCAGAGTACGCTGCTGGACGGTCTCATGGACGAGAGCAGAGCGATATTCGAAGCCAGCATGCAGGTACACGCGAAGTTACTGAACTGCCCACCTCTGCGCAGCATCTATAGCAATCTGTTGAACGCGTTCAACACGCAACACCATGCGCAGCAAACGCGCGAGACTCTGCCCACTTTGATCTCTGGAATTAACTTCAAGTTCTTCCTGCACGAGAAACTGTTCTGCACGATGCATCTGATAATCCGCTATCAGGAGGAAATGTTGAAGAACAGTAGACAGAGCGACAAGATTATGGAGGAAATTGTAGAGCAATTTGTGGCGCTCCTCGGTACGCACAGCTTCGGCAACACGCTGCAACCTAAAACCTTGAACATACTGCACATCATTTCAGTGTTGGAGCCGCAAGCGAAGTGGAGCAAGAGATGGCTGCACAGTCTCTCTACCAGGAGAACTTTCATCGCCGCTCTGACCAAGTCGCCAATATTGCTGCAAAATGCCGTCGAGTGCGTGAACAGCGGTTTAAAAGAAACACCCTGCTCGTTATCCGCGTTCATCGTGGACGACGGCAATGAGCTGTGTATCCCCGGGAACACGATAGAGACGGCGACTTATCTGCACTGTTTGGTCCTCATTTCGCAGCTCTGTAGCTACGAGGCAAGCAGAACATTGTTCACAGAGAGTTTGTTGCAGACGCCGTTTGTTATCGCCGATTTCCTGATAGAACTGTCGAAGTCCTTGAATAAGTTGGCCGTAGACGCGCCCAGCGGGGTGTACGTGACTCTCCGCATGGCTCTGAAAAATGCACTAAATATATCAGAAGTGTTATACAACACTGAATTTTATCACACTGCATTATGCCACTTGACGTCTCTTCCCGAAAACAATATAAAGATTTGGCCACACACGTTAGACATCATCTCTCACATGATTGACACGACCGAAGGTCCAACATTTTTGATTACAAGTTGTAAAGAGCATTCAACGAACTCGGAAGACAAACCGTCAAAATGTCCGGTCACAATCATAATGCAATACGCGTCGAATTTGTTGAAGCAACCATTTTCCATAATGGACATGGAATGCATTCTCAACTCATTCAGTCTTATAGAAAAGTTATTCAACATTTACGACGTTTACGAAGCTGCGCAGGAACAGATAGAGACACAGTTCTACCCGGCCGTCGCTAATTTTTACAAAAAATTAAACAAATGCAGCGCCGAGAACGAGAATAAGGTTCAGCAACTCGACAGGTGATCGGAGAACAAATTTCATCTCTGCAAATCTAAATTTATAATCTGATCTGATTTTTTTAAATTCTAGTGCTATCAAAAAAATTTTATTGAAAATGGTGTCGGTACCGCTTGGAGTGCAAGCGCTCGTCAACGAGAGGTTGGTGTTCGAGGAATTGATTCGCGGATTGATCGTTCCTCTGAGAGCGACCTGGAGCTCCACCGACATAGTCAGCTTCATTTCGTCGGCTGGTCATTTCGAGCTGGGCTACAACGTGCTCGCGGATCTCGCGCCCCACGTTCTGTCGACCTTGCTGTCGCAGACTTGCGCAAACGCGGAGGATCCCAAACAATTTGACGATCCATGGGATAGAGAAAACATCGACGAATTTCTACATATACTCGCACTATTTTCCCTCAATTTCAATTGTAAATAATTCAAGCAGCGATGCAACATTCGTTATCGTATATTTTCTGATCAACTGATTTAATATGGTGCAGGTTTCGCCGCGTTTATGATAAAGGACGGCGAATCAGATAACGACGAGGGAAAAGATTATCCTTCGAATTTGTCCGAATTATTGCAAACTGCGATAAATGAAGATTCAAGCTACCATCATTTAGGTCTTCTTTCGTTAAATGCAGTAATTTGGAATCTAGATATTTACGCCTACCTAACGAATTCGTTGAACTTCCAGGTAACGCATTACAAACGCCTGAAGAATAATCGCAATTGCGCGTACTAATAAGCTATAATTTTAGAAAGCGTTGTTAGATATCCAGAAGGAGAGCACGATTCTGATCGAAGCTCGCAAGGAGCAATCCGACGATGAAACTGACTACGAGCGGACGGAGTATGATGATGAGGATAAGCCAGAGCCGAGAAAAGAGTACATAATAGACGATTCTAGTTATCTGAGACACAACATTTTATTGAAATCATACTACATGACGCACAAAAGGAAGCAGTACCCTGTGATACCCTTGGAAGACTATGAACTGTTTCGGAATTTCCGCCTCCCAGGATGTACGAAGACATGATAGATCCGCCAACCGTGGAATACGATTCAGAGTTAGAGGATATGCTGCAAGAGGAGAGGCCCGGCTTGTTAGACATCAGTTGGGTGTCGCAAGTTAGGGCGGCTCATAAAGCCTCACGGTGTCCAATAAAGGTGAGATGCCGTATAAATACAATTTAGCACGCAATTATATGCTTTGAAAATAATTTCGTTTTAGAATTCAGTGATGACGAATTTATTGAATCAAATGCATAAGGCGATTCCAACTGCGGAATGGGTAGAACAATTTGGATGGCAAGAGAATATAACATACGACGCGGATTATTGGCTCCCGGAAGACGCGCATGCAATTAATGTTGTTCTGAATTACGCCGAACAACGGCAGGTTTTAAAGAATACCGACGACAGCAAGAAAAATTTGAAACAATTTATTCATTCTGCCTACATACTTATACAGTACAACAAACCAAGTAGATTCGAAGGTTTTGATTGGTTTTTGGGAACAGTATTCATTGTCTGCGATGGAGATCTGAATAAGTATGTATTGATATTTATCTCAATAATTAATCTTTAAATAAAAACAAAGTAATTAGAGCATAAAAATAAATTTGAGCCTCAGCTGACCGCGAATTAATCCTTTGACAACAGTTTAAATAACGGTATGGATATCTAGTGATGTGTTTGATTACTTGTTCGATCAATGATGTTATTATTTGCTCATTTTAATCGCGCGGAATTAAAATTGATCGAACAAGTTTTTTAAACTGTTGTCAAAAGTGATTAACTCAAGCTAGTCGTAATGTCATCATTGGCAAGTCTCAGATTGAAAACTTGGTTCTCACCGGATCAATGTTTTTTTTTATCATCGACCCGACTCAACAATTTTCTTTCATCATCGACCTATCATCGAATGATACGATAATTAGCGACAATTAATTACAGATGTAGGACGTTCATTATGCAATTGATTCAATTTCCATCGACACTGCTTCTCTGGCCAAAATTGGGCAAAGTTATCGACGAAAAAAATAACGAGAGCACCAGTTCGCAATTCACTTTTATGCAAGTTTTAGAAGCCATGGTGAATATTGAGCTTCCGAACATTAAATATGGATTGAAGGTAATTGAATTTCATCTTTTGAATATATAAAGACTTAATTATCTAGAAACATAATCTAACAAATCCGATTGACGCGATAAGGATGTCTACGGTGTGAATTGGTGGATGATATTCAATAGAATGCTATCGCAATGTTTCTGGGGCATTCTTCCATGGAGTGAAGTAGTCCACTTTTTTGCAATTTGCATTCTATACCCGCCCGATTATATGGTGTATTATAGCGTATCACTTTTGCAATGCTATCAGGAAACATTGCTGCGAGACTTAACGAATACGAAAATGTGGCCGGAAAATATGGCATGTATATGAAAAATATTGAGTTATTCATAATTCATATGGAATTAAATAATTTACTGAATGTGTTTTCACACAGATGTTGGACGAATATCGATGTCATAGTTATATTTCATACATGGATAATTTAGGTCAACGATATAGAAATAGGATTTTGCCGGCAATGACTAAAAATCTGAATTCAGAAGATGAAATATAAATGTACATAATGTATTATCTAAGGATAAAAAAGCAAGAAAGAAAAAATAATCGTCTTTAGCGATAAAAAAATCACATACAAGAGAAAATATTTTATAGATTCTTTACATTGAAATAGTTATGTATTATGTTGAAATAATCACAAAATAAAATAATGTATATATTTGTACAACGAATAACAATTGACGTATTATAATGAATAAAATTGTTCTTTTATTTCCTATAAATGCACTCTAGGATGCATTAATAAACGTACATAATTTGTACGTATATGAGAATGTTTACAGATCGTATTTAGAAATCTTCACATATACAGCACGAATAGTGATACTTGTGTAATTTGCATACCTGCAAAATTCAGCGACATGTGAGTTCAATGAAGTTCGTTTTTGTGAGTTTTCCAATGATAACACTTCAAACATGAAGATCGGACACCTTTTTATATATGATACAATAATCTCGTAATATTGTCATTCATTCTTATTCTTTTAATCATCGTGAATTGTAAACAATTTCGCTACTTCATTCAAATCGTCATACTTTGTATCTGCTGTAAGAACCTAAAATGATATTAAAAATGTTTTAAATTACATTATATTGATTAATTTAAATAGAGAGTTAAATGTGTTTGAATAAATTTAAAATATTTCAAATAAATTATTAAAAAAATAGGAACAAATTAATAAATTACAAATTATAAACTTACTCGTCTAGCAATCGACATCCGGTTGAAGATATTCCACAGCACTATTCCTACTACAACGTCATCTCGAAGATAGAAAATAACGCCTTTTCCGAAATCATCACGTTTTGTAGATTGCTCTACAGATTTATCTTCACATGATTCTTTGTTTTCTTCTAAACTTGTGTTCTCATTTTTTATAATTTGTGACTCTGATTTTGCATTCAGATTGTACTCAGATTGTGATTCTTCAGAATTTGTTTTTTGTTCCTTAGAAAAAAAAAACAAACAGTTAAAAGAAATTGTTTCAATTAAATATATTATATTTAATTGCAAGGATTTACTTCAGTAGAATTATCAACCACAGTTGCTTCCGTTGATTTTGCAAAGACTCCAACAGTTGGCAAAGATGAATCCACGATACCTATTGCCTCATATCCTACGTCAGGTCCCAAGTCTGACCAAAACATTGATTGATGCAAATAAGGTTTCCCTGTACAAAAAATTCACTTAAAATTGTTTTCAAAAATCTCAATAGTCTACAGACATTAAGCTTGCTAAATTTTACCTGCACCGGTCATATTTTCGCCTGCTAATCTTCCAGAGGTAACCGCGTGATCATGATGTTCGACTCTTCTTCTACCAAGTTTGACATCATAAAAACATGCTGCGTCACCAGCGACCCAAAGATTGCTTCGTGCTTCTAATTCGGCATTAACAAGAAATCCTCCTATTTTAGGATCCGTCTCTAAGTGGGAAGATGATGCCAAATTCGTATTTGGTTGAACACCCACCGCTACTATCACTTGATCAGCATCGATCTTTTTATTGAAGAAAATAAAAAGTTTCAGTAAATAGAAGCTCGATTAATGTAATTAAAATACTTAGATTCTTAAATATATATGAACATACAGTTTGACCACCGGTAAGAATAAGAGACAGTCGGCCGTTCTTATACCTATAATCTTCAATTTCTGAGCTAGGTATAGAATGAACACCTTCTGCTGCGGCCTTTTTCGTGGTCCACTCACTCAAGTATTCCGGTAAAACTTGAGCCATTATAAATTTTTCCTTATAAACTTGGGAAACATTTTTAGATTTATCTGCTAAAACAATCTTATTATTAATAAAAAAAATATGTTCTCAAATATAGTATCAATTATTCAGTTAATAAGAAACATACAACTTCTAGCCAATGCGCAAGCAAGTTCCGAGCCAAGAAATCCACCACCAACAATTACGATATTCTTGCACTTCGGATCAGAAACATTCTGTTCTAAATCGAGAAAATCGTCCTTTGTCCTGAATGTTGTAATCTTATTTTTTATTTCATCCTCAACTGATTCAAATACAGGCAAATTCTTCGGCGATGTACCTAAAGATATAATCATACATGAAATATTTTATTTTGAAGTTACTTTAATTTTCTTTCTCATTTGACAAAACTTACCGGTTGCAATAAGACATTTGTTGTAGTTTATTTCATGACCATCTTCAAGAATCGCAATTTTATTTACAACATCAATTTTCGTTACTTTCCAACCCATGGCTACGGCAACACCACCCTTGTCAGATTCGGTAAGATGAGTAACACTCGAATAGAATTCGTGCGGTTCGTAGAATATACTAAGAAATAAATACGAAAATATTGTATAAAAAGATAATTATTCTACTTATAATAAAATAATATCTACTTATATAATATTAAATCTAGCAAAATTTACCTTCTCTGAGTGCCATTCCATTGGTTAAAACGTAATTGAGCGGTTGTTTCTTTATCTGTGTTGTACCAAAGTTCTTTAGATAAAGGTGGTCTCATGTAAGGAAACTCTCCTTCTTCCGCTATAACTAAAACCTGAACAAAATCTCTTATTTGTACAAGTTGAGAGAAAAGGAATTCAAACTTATTTTACAGTTATATATACCTTTGCTTTGGGATCTCTAGATTTAATTGACCTAAATGCTGAAAATGCAGCAGTTCCACCACCAATCAGTAAATAAGGTACTTCTTGAGGTATTAATTTAGATTCTGCTGGAACTTTTGCTTTTTCTCTAAATCTCCTTTGCCGTTTTCCTTCTTTCTTTTCTAAAATTGTAATCAATATATATATTCAAATAATATATTTTAAATATTTATACCACATTAAAACTATTCGCTAATTCATGTTTACTTTCATCCGTCTCTTCAACTGCTTCCTCACCTTTCAATCCAGATGATGAAGATACCTATAAAATATATGTAAAATAAAATTTTTAGTAAAAAAAGATAAATTAATCAATATTCCTAATTTATTAAAAATTTTTTTGTGATGAAATACCTTATATGCTGCAACTCCTGTTACAATTAAAGCAGCGAGTAAGTGCCAATAACGAAATTGATATTTTCCAAATTTGCCTGAGCCTTTTTCACTTGATTGTTTTTGTTCTCCATCTAATTTATGCACTTCTTTACATGATGTTGAACGAGATGCATCACGTTCTGCTTCACAAGGAGGAACAGCTCTCTCTGGCTTTGATGTAGACTTGGCCACACATTCTTCTGGCTTGATAGTAGTGCCTGATGGCTTCTGTGGATTTTTATTGCTCGCTTTGCTACTATAGCGCAAAGTACCAATATTTATAATTCCTGCAAACATTTCTAGTAAATTATCAAAGAAATATTAACTAAAAGAATATTATTAAAATTTGACTAGCAACAAAAGCAAAAACAAGTAAAATAAGTGATATAATATAAGTGTATAATACATAAAAGATAATAGCGTTATTAATAATTTATTATTCTTTCATTAATTTATTAAAACAATCTATAAAATATTACCAAATTGTGAGCAAAAAGAAACAGTTGATTATATATATATAGTGTTTAATTTTTTTTAATCTGGTATTTAACGCGTGTCTTTGTAATGTAAAATATGGTTCATGGGTTTTTAACACTAATAATAGTCTTTAATGAACGATTTTCAGGTTATATCATCCATCTCCTACTCGAGAGGGAACACGCCGCGTGGAAAACAGTAAACATAGCCTCACTAAGTAGTAATTACACAGGAGTACAAACTTATACAAGTACAATACTGACATATACAGAGAAAAATAAACCTAATAATAACTCTCTTGTGTGAAAATAAAATGACAAAATAGGCGGGAAAACCTAATAACTTTATTAAACCTAAGGAAACATAAATCAAGGTAAAAAGCAATAAAAACACGTCTTTCATCACATCGATACGTACCGATGTATTTTACAGGTCGATAGAGATGATTTGCTTGCGTAATCCTGGTTGGCAATCGGCTGATAGCTCTGCTACAGACGAACATCTTCGCCGAGCCGGTTGTCCGTCGGCTTTACGCAATACGATGGCGTTTGCGTGTTTTCCCCCAACTGCTAACGTGATCAGCAATCAGCCGCTAACTATTGCTGTTTGTATCGTCAACCGGAAGAACGTTCGCCGGAAGAATGCTCGCCACGCAACACGCCATTACCTGGATTTCCCACTTTTCTTCTTTGCCGTGTCGTCTCTCCGCTCGTAACAGGTGATTTCCTGCGCGGCGGCGGAGCCGGTAAGCGAGACACGTGAATTTAATAAAAGTCACTCCACCGAGATGCGTGCGTACGCACATATATGCACTTGGGATGAACCATGGGATGAACGATGCACCCAGTTGAGATGGCTTGTAAGCACAGCTAACTTCTCTTTCTCTGTAAACCAAATAATATAATCGATTTAAGGTAAGTAAAATAATTACTTATAACTCTAATAAAATATAAGTAAGCAATGTAAATAATATAATTTATTATTTATATATAAAATTTCTCTCTGCTATCACATGCATGTGACACCTATGTTCAATTGATAATAGCATTGTAAAAGTTAATGAAGCATAGAATGTGAAAAAATTTAATTTAATTTTGAAACTGAAGTTGGATCTTTAAATTTAGAGGTGTTTCAAAAATGTTTTGCCTATTTTTTATTATCAACATAGTATTAATTAAAAGCTTATCATCTGAGGTAACAGAAGGAAGTTAACATTACACACTGCAGATGGTGTACGTTGTACCAATCCTTTTTAAACTTGTCTGACCATCACTTAGGCGACTCTACTTATAATTAATCCATACAACATATATTATTTTTTTCATAAAAAATTTCTTTTATTATTATATTTTTAAATTTAGAAAAAGCTGTGAAAATTATTTATGTAAAGATAAAAATAATTTTATACACAACATAAAAATTTTATATACAACATAAAACGTATGAATATCAAATAAACATAGACCCAGAGTCGAATTAATTAATTAATTATTTTGATAGTTTAAAAAATTGATAAACATTTGGCGTACATAATAAGTGCGATATTAAACTCTGATATCTTATATAATGTCATTGATTGATTTGATATATTGATATTATATTTAATATTTATGGTATTCATTGGGATTATCGACAATGTTTTAATTATTAGCAGTATGAATAATTATAATGTACTAATAGTATGAAAAAAGTTTTATATTGCATTAATATAGTTAATTATCTTACAAATAATAAAGTTTGCAATTAAATAAAAATTCAGTTTATTATTTAGGAGATTTTCAGTACATTTTTATTATATGTGATGATAAAGAATTTAATTAATTTTATTATTATGATGATAAAAATAAAGAAGGATTGGATAAACTCTCATGTTGGACGTAGACTTTCATGTTTTTAATAGAGATTCGTTTGACAAGATAATTATTTCCCCGGTATTGAATTTTTTATGTGCCAAATGCCAAAAAGAGTACTGTAATTGAAATTCATCTTTGATCTTGATTATCCAATTTGATTTGTAATGCGATTGCAATCATTGAAACATAATCTGTAGTGCACTGAACGCATAGTACAATAATCGATTTCGAGGGATTGACATGATACTGATTATGGAGCGATACAAGCGATAGAAGCGTTGACAGACATATAGTAGTCAAAGCGAATTCAATCGGCTAAGATTTGTCATGTACGATATAATTGAAAATAACTGAAAATAAATACACTAAAAGAAGGAAAATAATTATTGCATAAAGTAATAAAACTCCGGATATAGGCGTGAGCACGTTTGCCTCACTGTTTAATTAAACATGCATACAGCACGATCGATTGCGATTCGAAAGCCGACGTTTTGTTTCTCGACAATATTCGAGAATTTATCTGCTTGCTATTCTGCCTGCTACAGCGACAGGTATGGCAGTGGCAGCATTCGATGCATGGTTTGTATATTTATTTTAATAGATCGCATAAATATTTTCTTCATCTGCACACAACACGATTTATTGCTGGTGGCATTTATGTATTCAAAATGTGTATGCGAACAACAGCTGATATAACTAAAACTACGATACACGTTGTTGATAAACTTTTTTTCACAACACGGAGAGATCAGAAATAAATTTCCAGCCTGTTGTGATCTTTGAAACAAATTTGAAATACGTGGTTATAGATGTCTTTGGATTTAAATAATAAAAATAAAACATTGATTGTAATTATTTTATTATTTGCATATGACTTTCTGATGTTTGTTGAGAATTAATAACCGAGAGTTTTAAGCTTTTATGCAAATTAATATTTGAAATTATATTACGAGCGATTAAATTAAAATATCAAATTGCCTGATGTTGTAGAAAATCGAATAATCCAGCAGTTTTATTCTTTTAAAAGTGTGTTGTAACAAATGTGATAAACCCATTTAAATCACAAAGTTATCAGACCAAATCTAGCTAAGTATTCACATAAAATCATTCAAAAAGCAAATACAATATACAGAAACAGTGCATCGGAAGTAATAACTCCATAACTTTCAGTAATTAAAGTCTTTCGACGACACTAAGGCTAAAAAAAGATTTTTTTACACGATTTATAATTTTTATCATATTTAAATTAATGATGAAAATTATATTCTTGTAATTTTTACATCTTTTCGCTTCAATCGTCTCTTAACGTAGCGTTAAAAATAATAAAATACTAAGATTAAAGATGCTTTAAAATTAAAAAATAGTTTCTTGAGAAATTATTGTGGTAGATTTTGATTAGCTAACAATAATTATTACGTAGTTTTCTAAATCAATTGATAACTTTTTTCTAATTTTTAATAGACTTTCCTCTAATTAATTAACTGATTTTACATTGAAAAGTTTATTCTGTTTTCTCTGATAGTGTTTTGGGTCTTATATATAGTAGTAACGAATCCAGAACTGAGGCGCGTAGCTTCTTCAGTAAACAATGTCGTAATTATTATAGTACACAATTTTCAAATTTTATCTAAGAATAATATTGAATGGTTTGATAATGCGGCGTGATATAGAGCGTTCTAATCTAACCGAGAAATAATGAACGCTGTACTACATAAACGCAACAATATCAGCATCGAGATGAACGAGGATGGCCGGTGTACCGCAAATAACACATCGAAATTGCAACTTCTGATGATCGGGCGACGTCAGGCGTGAAATTCTCGTGACAAATATTTGATTTTACGTTTAACGCTGAATTATTCGACGCACGGGTGTTACCGTATCACACACTGTGAATAATGGACATATTCATGTAATTCGTAATATATAATCATTACCAATAAAAAAATCAAATATCCGTACAGTGATTAATGGGATAAAATTTTTTTTATTATTCGCGCGTTCTTATTATAGATTAACATTTTAAATATGCGTAGAAATAAATACATAAGCAACTTAATAAGTGTACAGATTATTCATATCATAGCATAATCGCAGTATTTGTTAAGTATTGCAGAAAATTTTAAAGACAAATGTCTTTAATCAATGTCAAATAAGTCGGTTATTTAAATAACCGAATTAATGGATTAAAAAATTGTCTTTCAATTTATTTCCAATATTCAAACTCTTAACAAATTATTAAAAATGTTATATATTTTACGTCTTGTCGCTTGAATGTTGAAATAATCATATTAAAATATATACAGTTTATCTTTATCTGGAAAAAAAAATTCTTGAAGTTATAAATGACGAAATAAGTACGTGCTTATAGTATAGATAGATTGATAAAGAAAACAGGCGAGATTGTTATATTGATTTTATTCACTTGAGGAACATTTTTTGATAATGTGAATTATATATAACATGCATATTTATCAGAATTTTAATCTTTTCCCAAAAGATTTATTTCCTGAAAATAAATCAAAATAATACATTACATTATTAAATATATCGAGGTAGTTTTTCATTAAATAATTATTAAATCTACAACGTAATATGCAAAGTTTCCTACTTAAATATCTCATATTTTAATTTGCTTCACTAATAATAATTCAAAATTCACTTTTGAGTTGTGATTATTTTACCGCTGAATTCGTTGAATATATAAAGAGATTGTAATTATTTTAGTTGCCACTTACTTGAAGCATTTACAATGTTTATTTTCGCATTTTCCTTTGGTTCCTTCTCGATACATGCAAAACATAATACAAAGGTTGTTTTCATATCGAGAAAATAGGCAAGCGATACGTTCCTCGAATCCTCGTCTGACATCTTTGTAACTTTTTGATTCCAAAGATTTAGATTTATTTTGATTTAAATTCCAATTGTATATTGGACTTTTCTCATCTTTTATATTATTATCTAGAATATATTAAAGAAAAACACAATGTTACGAAGTGTATTATTCACAATGAATACTACATATTACTTAAAATAATACATAATAATAAAATAATTTCATACAAAAAGTTTTTTAAAAATTACTTTAGATGGGATTCTCACTTAACAATTATTATAGTCACCGACCGTTATGACGGTGAATGTATTAATAAATAATTTATAAATAATAGAAAATTTATAAATATATTTATAAAAAATAATCTCTAATAATGTGTACTTTGTTTAATTTATAAATGTGCGACTGCTTAAATATTTTTAATAACTATTATATCTCTTAAAATCAATGGTAAATTTAGATTTGTTTAGAGTTTCAAATTATAGTACCTTTAACTTCCTCGATGACAGATGCGAGGGGCAATGCGACGGTGATCGCGATTAGAAGAACGAGTACGTAGATCTTCATTTTGACAAGTGTTCACAGAAATGACAAGTGTTCGTTTAGACTGCTGTAAGAAGAATCCTTCCGAATGCCTTAATTGTGCTCTTTTATAAACTGTTATAGTCATACATGAGTAGTGGGGATACATTTTTCAAATAGCAACACAGAGTTTTTTCATTGTGAGTCAAGTTGTCGTTAAATTTTCGTAATTCTAGAGATAAAAACAGATATGTATTTACATTATTCAGAATAGAATGTCAGATTACAGGAAAACAAAATATACAAGATATCAATATCAAGTGACACGATATGAAGCCGTACACGTAAAATTCGACTATTGTTTGACGTTACGATAGCTCTGTTAAAAAAATATTCATTTATTTATATTTTTATATTTTTATAATAAATTGAATTTTTTCGATATGACCTGTCAAAGATATTTTTACTAAGAAATATGACCGTGATATCAAAAATATCATACTAGAAAATTATCAAATTTCTAACTTATTCTATCGCAAAGTTAAAAAGGACGGATATTGGAAAAACAAAACCAGTTTCTGTGAATGATAAAGAGCTAGAGAAAAAGAAGAAAAATAACTACAAAGTGAATGAAAAGAAAGAAGACTAATTGGTCGTCAGCACTGAAATTATA